CAATTTCCTCTTTCGCCTCTTTTAACAAACCACTTTAATTAGATTTAAAGCACCCTGCGGCTTCTCCTCTGCCCACAACAATTTCCTGTGCGACGCATTAAATTTGATTACATTTCATTAAGCAACCGAAAAATTCCACGAAAATGTGCTGCCTCAATATACATACAAATTGAATATATTTATTTGGCAACGTCTTTAGGGGCAGCGGCAGCAGCAACCATTGTCGCCATTTGAAATTGAGCCGTTTCAGCAAAGTCTTTGACTCGTCTCTTCTCTTTTGGCTTTTGGTCGCCTATTTATGGCCATATTTTGATTGCCGTTCCACTGGCTCCAGCCAACTCAACTCAGCCCAACCGTCCAACCGTCCATCCATCCATCCATTCTCCGGTAGCTGTGCAGCCTGTCAAGATGCATAAAGTTTGTTTTCGTCACGCCGCCGCCTCGCCGCAGACAGCCATCAGAGGCTGAGGCCCGAGTCCATGTGGGGATGAATCGTTTATTTTGTGCCTTTTTTTGGGGGCAGCAGCAATTTTTCATTATTATTATTATACGAAATGTATTTTGTTTGGCTAGTTGATTGAGTATCGTCATCAGCTACTTTGGCTACCGTTTCGATCAGTTGTTGTGCATCAAACAGTTCAAACTTTGCTGCAACTGGCATTTAGCTATTTTTGCCTGGTTGCCAGCAAATTGGGCAGGAAGTACACTTCTGCTGAGCAATTTGCATTCTTTGGAGGTTCAACTGGAAAGGGGAACAACTTAATAAGCAGCTAGCTGGCTAGCTGTTGGTAGATATATAGAGATGTAATTTATGCCAGGCTCGACTGTCTGTTTATATGCATAATTGCCAGCCAACCAACAAGATGGAAGCCAATGAAACCAGGCAGGGAACTCTGAACACTCTGAGCCCAAGCCGGGGCGACATCCAATGCACAGCTGTGCACCGGGACTCGATAGAGAGACCAAAAATAGTGAAAATATTTTTGTATTTTATGCGTCAGTCGGGTTCGATATGAATAAAATGCAGAAAACAGTAAAATGCTTTCAACTATGCGAGAGTTCGAGGTAGCAACATCAGCAGCAACAACAACAACAGCAACAACATCAACAATAATAACAACAACAGCTGCAGCCTATCTGCAACTGCAACGGCAGTCGCTCAGCTTCCTCAGCTTCCAGATTCGAGTCTCATGCGTGTGCCCATAATAGTTCGCAATTAATCAAAAAAAAAAAAAAAAAAAAAAAAACAGCCATGAACCAGCTGCCATCTCCAAATTTCCGAATGTTGCACTTTGAATGCCCTACTCAGTGCTTCCAGTGTGTTAAATATGATTCAATGTAATAATATAATGTTTAACCGTTGATTTTATTTATTATTTTAGGCAATCCCTTTCATATACGCTTTTAAAGCAAATCTTGCTGAACTAAAAAATTCAAATTATTTCAATAAGCAAATGTGCAAAAGTCCACTTTGCTACAAATTGTCCTTTGCTTTAATATTTATTTTAAATCATTTTTATAAATATTTATACAAATTTTAAATCTGAATTTTCTACTATGCTTTTCATTTTATGATTCTATAAATTTATAGTGTATATATATTTTTAAAATATTGTGTAATAGCTATTCTATTTTGGCAATATCGTTTCCTTACTTTTTATTCATTCATGGCTTTATATATTAATAATATTAATATTGCAATTTTATTGTAATATTAATATATAATTTTATTGAGCTCCCATAGTCACTATATATTTGTTTTACTTATTAAGTGTCAGTTTTTTTATCTAAGGCTAAATTCATAATAATAATAATAAATTACAGATTTGAATTATCTAGAGCACTTTTATTCTCTCCTAGAAGGGGGATATGAATATATTCGATTCATAATAATAATAATAATAAATTAGAGATTTAAAAAGCCTAGAGAACTTTTATTCTCTCCTAGAAGAGGAATATGAATATATTCGTTTTACTTTCTTCCTTTCTCTTGGACTTGCTATCTTGCTATCTTACTCATCATGAAAAATATATAAAATACAAATAAATATAATTTAATCTCTTTGCCCCTATATAACCATCACTACAAGCTCTTTAAAAACTTTTCAATACTCTATAGTTTCTTGGAAAAGTCAACAGGAAAAGATAAGTTTCCATTCCGTTCTGTGCGCATCTCTCTTCTTGGCTGCAAAATGTTTATGGTTTGTTTACGGTATTAGCTGGGCATTGGCTTGGCCAGTGACAAGTTGTCCTCTATTGGTCAGCTATTGAAATGAATATTTATGCATTTTCCCTTTTGCTACTCTTTTCATACTCGAAAGTTGTTCATGTTATTCATTTACTCAATGCATAAATATTTCTGTGGCCATTCAATTTGTCAAAACATTTAATCAGCAAAACTTTTCTCACTTAAGCTGTCAGCGCATGGAAAACGAAAAACTTGCCCACAACCAACCTGGTGAATGGAGCTGGGGGCAGGCGAAGGTGGAGGGGTAGGAGGAGTGGCAGAGATAACCAATTCAGTTTCGAGTGCCGAGAGTGGAGTTAACAGTTTTTTTTTTCTTTTTTGGCTACCGCAAATTTGTTATTTGTCAAAACATTTAAATGCCATTTGCGTGTTCCACCGCATTTTGACAGCCACCGATAATTTTTCTTGCTTACGTTTGGCTACTTTTCGCACCTTGCCCTGGCCCGGCCCAGCTTGGCCCATAGCCAATTTCCTGACTTTCTAGGCAGTTGTTTTAACTCATTTCAATATGATCATTTAAAACTCAACGAAGGGCTTTTTGTTTGGGTTTCAAAATGAATTAGTTTTCGGTGAAAGTCTTTTGGAGTTTCTGTTTTTGTTTTCAATTCAGATTGGATAAAGTTAAATTGAAATAAAAGCAGGAAAAGTGAACTTAACCAGTTAATATTAGAAATTTATATACTATAAGCAATCTTAAAAATATAAGCTGCATTTAACATATCATATGATAATTATATAAGCTGCATTTAAAATTTGTAGCCAAATTATTTTCCTTGACTAACGTTCTCAAAAAGTTTTGCCCACTTCTCTATCTCGTTTATCTACTTAAGTGACTCTGCTGCCCATAGAATGTCACTAGAAATTCACATATATTCACTTAAACTTTCTGGCTAAACTTTTCACATTTCCCAACCCATCTCTTCCAAAACAGTCTTTTCTTTCTTTTGTATTTTCCACGTAACCTTCTCAAAACATTTATAAATTTTTTTTAAAGTTTTCGCAAAAGTTTTCGAGTTGTAAAATGAAACAAGTCTTTGAAATATTTGTTCTGAATTCGACTAGATAAATACGCTCTTTGCAAGCAGGTAAAAAGAGGTTAGATTAGACTCTAGAGTAAACTAGGATTATTTAATAATTATTTTGCAAATATAAAATATTTAAATGAATATCAAACTAGTTATTGTTGGTTTCCTATGGCTTTGGGATAGCTCTCAAACTGTAAGCTTTAAAGCAATGTCTCTCAAGCCTTTAGTAAATTTTCTTCAGCTATAAATATGCGCGTTTTGTTAAGTGTAAATAAATTTTAATGAAATATATTTGCTTGCAAACGGTTGACAGTTATAGGAAGCCTAGCCTTTACGCTGTGGGCTAACGTAAGTCTTACAAATCCAATTTTAAGCATTTAAAAACCCTTCCCACACAAGCCGATATATACTTCAAGGCATCTCTGAACAGAGTATTAAAACTTATATGCATTTTCACAGCAATTACGTCAACATTTTTCCTGCTACAAACAAATGGGAAAACTTTTTGTTGACATTTGCCAAAAGCTCCACACGCTGACACCAACAACAGCAGCAACAACAACAACAACAACAACAGCAGCAACAATTGCAACAAGTACAGTAGACTGAGCCAGAAACAGCAACAATTGCAATTTTGAGCTAGCAAACATGCAAATCGCATACCAGGTCAACATAGCTGGCCCAGAGTCCAGCTGCTACCAACGGCGCCGCCTGGCGCTGCTGCTGGTCAGCGATAAACTTTATCTCGAAAGTTGCCTTGTCTATTTTTGCTTCTGTCTTGTTTTTGTTGTTGCTTAGCTTTTTTTTCTCATTTTTGGCTATCTATCCGTGAGATATATTTTTGCAATGCAGACCAATCAATATGGCAACAGACGAAGACAAGCTCAGTGAGCAGGAGCTGAGAGCAGCTGTTTCTTGGTGATTTATGGGTCAATGTGTATGAGGGCATGTTCTTGACTTGTTTGACCAATTTAATTGATTGACATGGGAAAATCTGTCAAGTGTGCAGTATATGTAACAAAATGCAAGCCCAAATTGAGTAGAGAGAACATTTTGAGAGCTGTGAGCTAGAAATGAAGAGACATAAACTGGAGAGAGAATAAGAAAGCTCTGAATGGCAATCGATTTGCTATCGAGTGGGCTGAGCTGGAACAGAAATCAATGAAGAGCTTAAATTGGACCTGAAGACGTGTAAACTAGAGGGAGCAAAGGGAGCAGAGAGAGAGAGAGAGAGAGAGAGAGAGAGAGGGAGGGATGAAGAAAGAGAGGAAAAGATATATATATAGAGATAGAGATAGAGATAGAGAGAGAGAGAGAGAGAGAGAGAGAGAGAGCTATAACAGCTTAAGCTTAGACATGGACAATTGTAAGGAAGAGAAAGTAGAGAAAATGAGCTGTGGGTAAAATTGAATGCGAGTGATTCAAGCTGAAGCTGAGTCTGGGGAGCTTTAATTTTCGATAGAACAATTCGGAAACAAGAGAGGGATTTTAAGAACCATATATTTTTAAAGCATTTTAATTTTGAGCCCATACACTTTATAGTATGTATTTAATAAAATAAATCTTAGGTAAGATATCTAATTAATTGTCATCAGTCCATTGAATTGTTCACTCAGTTGCTATCAAATCTCACAAGAAAAAATACACATACACATATACATATACATATACTACATAATATCGTTTTCTAATCACTTCTCATTTCAAAACATTTCCTTCTTTTCTAGAAATGCGCCTGCGCAACACTCAACAGGCAGATGAGGCCATCAGTGCTGGCGGCCTCTATCCGCCGCTGTTTAATGTCGCGCCGCGTGCCTCGATCACAGTGAACGCAACGTGCGGCCAAAACGGAGCCGAGGAGTACTGCAAACTGGTCGACGCCTATCCGCATCGCAATTGGGCCAAGCACTGCGGCACCTGTAATGCGCACAGCTCCGACCGGGCCAAGCAGCGACCCATCGAGTCGCTGATCTCGCCGAGCAGCAGCTTCGAGGAGAGCTGGTGGCAATCGCCTACGCTGCAGGGTGGCCGTCAGTTTGAGTATGTGACCATCACGCTGGATCTGAAGCAGGTGAGTGTGCCGGGTCTGGGTCTTACTCGGGGTCCGTGTCTGGGTCAGAGATATGTTACGACTTCTCTGGCATTCACTAATCACATGTGACAGTCAAGCTGTGATCCAGTTTGTAATTAAGCCGCTGACTTGTCACTCATTTACAAGCGATTTAACGCCCAGTTCCATGATCCATCCATCGAGACATCCAATCATGTTCCCCTGTATTCCCTGGCGCTTGTCGCCGATCATTAGACGCTGTGCGCATGAAATATGATCACAGTGGGCTGCGATCAAGTTTGGAACCGGTCAATAGGTATTACATTCTAATGCTCAAAATGGCAAACGTAAATTTACTTTGATGCTGCTTTGATTAAGTCATATCATCTTACGGGCCAAGTCGCAACTTTCTTCGATTATAAATGACAAGACATTGATTTCCGGGTTGGGGGAAATATTTATAATTGAGATGATGTTGGTATAGCTAAATATATCTGCTGGAATATTATCAAGTATTTATTGATATATTCGGAGTGGGTCGTTTAAGAAACGAGATTGGAATTACTAAACAGAAGTAAATTCATGTTTTTAATAATCAACAATTTAAGAATTCATAGAATAATGAATTGAATAATGTTAAAAAAAATCATAAAGTATTCAGAAATATTTTATAACAATCTAAAATTTAATTTAATTGCATTAAATTAACATATACGAGATTTTAATAGTTTTACCAAAGTAAACTTTGATGTTTGCTCAATAAAACCTTTTTTTAAATTCATGAAAATCATTGAATATGAGTTTGTAAAAAGTATCTGAGATCTATGAAGCATTCAAAAATATACTTAAAATATACTTAAAATTACCAAAAATAAAATTTTTTTAAATTTTCATAAAACAACATTTACAGCTCGGTCGGTATATGCAATACTTTAATAAATGGCTATATTAAATTAAATAAAGAAATTCCCCATGCAATTCCAATTAAAATTCCTCTCAACTGCTTTCACAGCTCGTATTACTCGCAACTCTTTAAATACAACTTAAATTAAAAATCATTTTAAAATTCATTAAAAAATACATTGTATATTAAGCACTGTAAAAATTACTTGTCTGCAGCAGCAGCAACTTGCCATATCGCATAACACATTTTTGAACTTTGGACACTTCCATCTACAACAACAAGTAAAACTTGGAAAGGAAATCACTGAAAAATCTTTAAAAAAATAAATCAAAAAGCCTGTGACACAGACAGCAAAAATCTCTCATTCATGCAAAAAAAAAAAAAAAAAAAAATCATCAACGTAAAGAGAGCGTGTAAATTTTGACAGATGCTGTTGATGCGTTGACGCCTTCAACTACTCGGCTCCGCCTGCACCCCCTCGATTTCGCAGACGCTTTTTTTATGGAAATTCCATCGACTGGCGCTGCCCTCGGCTGAGCCGAGTATAAACAAAAGTCATGGGAATTTTACAATAAAAAAATCACACAATTTTAGTCTCATTTTTTTAGTAGACTTTTTTTTGTCGGTCTGTCGCCGTCTGACCAAAAACTCAATTCAACATGTGTCAATTGTAGTTAAAATTGAAAATTGTCTCTCTGAACGTAGTCTGACATCTACATAGAGCGCATCCATAAAAGGTAATTCAATTTGAATTGATTCTTTTAATTTTTATTTTTTTGTGCCTGTTGTTTTTGGTTTACGTTTTTCATACGCTGCAGAGCCGACAAAGCTAATTAGGATAGGATCCAATTTAAATATTTATATGACTCTCTGTTGGCGAGTTGCGGCTCCTGTTCGTTATTTATTAATAACTCTCTCGCTCTCTTAAAGCGCATGGCTGTCATAAATCTTTCATACTTGCAGGCATATGTGAAAACATTGCTCTTAATGCTGGATGGAAGAGTGCGATGACTGTGGCATTGAGGAGGGCTATAGTTATACAGACATGAAGTATAGATGTATATGTTGGGAATATTCATAATCATTATTTACAGAGAAAATATTTATAATTTATTAATTAAAATACCTATACATTTTAGAAATATTTCCTGATAAATATATTTAAATATTTACCAAATTTAAATAAAAAATAATAATTAAAAAAACTTTATTAAAGAAACTTTATTTATTATTTATTTTATTTATTCTAATAGAAAATATTAAAAAAAAAAAAAAAAAAAAATAAATACAAATATTTGACAGTATTAAAAAATTAAATTAAATGATTTATTTACTTTAAAATAATAAAAAAATAATAAAATAATACATATATATCTCAGTTATTTCATATATATCTCAGTTTGAAGTATCAACAAATACAACACAGCAGAACTAACTAATCAACATCATCCACATTAGCATAGAGTATTTCCACTTCGACCTATACAAATTGAAATCTACTTTCATGTTTTTAATTTTAAATCAGGGCCCGGACTTCGAGAGTTCGTAGTCGAAGTCAACTGCACGGCCTGCCCCGGTTCTCTGCACGTTTTAATTAAGTGTATACTTCCATAATCTTGGCTATGTCTTGGTCTTCGACTGCATCTTTGTCTTGTCTGTGGCGGCATATGGCAATGAAAGAATTATATCAAAACATTGAGGAAATCACTGGGAAGGGGCGATGGCTGGGCTCATACATTGCCAACATTGCCAACAGCCAGCCAGCCAAACGATAAGTCTCGAGTGCAAACTGCACTTGAAATGTCAACTTTGTGTCGGTTGATGCTAAGCAGATGAGGTTGCTGCAGCACATCATTTGCCGCATTATGTGCAGAGAAAGTTCACGATAATCATGCAGATTGTAATAATGAAGCGATTCATTATGATTATGCATTAGCTGAGCTGAACAGACGCAAGTGCTGAAATGCAATACATTGTTGGGGGGCTCCTTTTAGCCCCAATGGAATTTCCATTAACACTTTACCGCACGATTAACACTCGAGATTCGTTTTTAAAGATTCATAAGCGGGAAATGGCAATAACAAAAAAAAATCAATTGATAAACTTAGTTTTGGGTGGTCCAGAGGGCATAAAAATGATAGGAAATTATGTAGAAAAGAAAAAAAAAATACGAACTTACATTCTTAAGAGTGGAATACTTTTTCTGGAAGGAATGCTTTGAGAATTTATGCTGAAATGAAAGAGATTGGGAAAATGAGTTTATTAAGTAGAGATAGTTTATAAAATATTGTTCATTAAAAAAAATATTTCGCTATAAATTTCCTATGGGAGAATCGAAGAATTCTAATTAATACAAAGAATTTCAAAATGTTTGTGATTCAAGGGCAGCATATTAATAAACAAAAAACCAAACAAGCTCAAGGAAATGTAACATACAAATAATTTGTAAATATTTCTCGATATATTTTCCACAAGGGAATTGAACTAAAAATATTTTTCTATAAACTTCACATAATGTGACATTGGAGAATTGAAGAATCCGACAGGAAACTTGAAAAAAATCTACCAATTACTTAAATATTACCCCAAAAACTTGGTGCTATGATAGCCAGTTCTCCATCTCCAGCTGCCCATTTTCACAGGCAATTAGCACTCGTTACCATTTCCATTTCCCATTCTCAAATACCACGCAAAGCCCTCTCTCCTCTCTTTCTCACTCTAGTAGTTTAATTTACTGCGTGTGTGTTTCTTAGGCATTTGTCACAACTGTTTAAAAACACATTAGAACAAATCTTCATGGAAGATAGACGACGGCGACGTCGAATGGAAACCAAATTTATGACCTCTGACGGAAACTTGGCATTCGTTTCATGGGCGAGAGACAAAAATTGTTCGAGTCGCGTGATTTGATTTTAACAATTAGACTAATCGAGTGATTTACAATAACAGCAACATGAAACAACAACAACAACAACTACAATGAGAAACAGCAACAAGAGCGAGACAGGCATGTGTCAACGATTTGACAGCTTAAAATATTTTTCTCGCTTGCTTGGAATTGCCTTTTGCCAGAGCGGCCGTAGCTGACTGCTGACTAGTTCGCTGGCTCGTCATTCAGTCATTCTGTCATTCCGCCATTCAGTCATTTAGTCAGCCAGTTTGTCTGTCAGGCTGTCAGTGGGTCTGTCAGCTTGGCTGCCGCACGCTTTGGCCACAACAATGTCTAGATTTATGCTTCAATGGCTTTGAGGCGCGCGTGACTAATTGAAAGTCTAGCGAGAATTCTGCGAATCGCGATAAATTCAACTCCAAGCAGTGCCTGTCAAACTGTTAGTTATATATATTATAGAAAATTATAATAATTATTGTAGAATTAGCAACGAAATTAAGAAGTAATTTGATGTGGGCGTTGACTAATTGCTGTACGTGATATTTATATTTTTAATGATTTTTAATTCATTTGGAATTAAATTAATAAATAATTTTAAATGCAAAAAAAAATAAAATAAAATAAAATAAGAATGTATAAAAATAATTGTCTATTAATATTAAATAAATACTAAATATGATTAAAAAATAACAAACAATTAATATAAATTATCTAATAATAATAATTTATATTTATTAAATATATTCCAGTTTTATATATAAATGGAATTTATTTATTGAACTAATTTTTATAAATATGGTCTCTAATTTAAATTTTTTAATTCTTAATATGTAAACTTGTGATCAGCGTTTAGCAATTCATTTAACCAAACATTTAAACAATCTCTGCACCTATAAAATCTTCAAATCAGATCAAAAACTCTTGCTTCAAACTGTTCAAGTCCATGCGAAAATCTTTTTAAACTCAATTAACTTAAATTCTATTTTATTTTATTGCCTCTAAAATGCCAAAAGTTGCGGTAAATGGTTGCCAAGCGGCAACATCAACAAGCTAGACACACAGGGAAAAAATGGTATTTTATTTTATTTTTATAGCCATTTAATTGCTTCATTAAATTTAGCCAAATTTGGCCAAGAGTTGTTGTTGTTTGGGGCAGGCTTTACGTAACTGTAATTCAAATGTTTGACAAGTTGTTGCAACATTCGCAGCCAAATGCAACAACAACAA